TTTCGGGAAGGGTGCTGGTGAAGCCAAACGTCCAGGAATTCACAGAGACATTTGCCATCTTCGAGGACGGCACCAAGGAAGACATCGATGCTGTGGTCTTTGCCACAGGATACAGCTTCTCCTTCCCCTTCCTTGAGGGCTACGTGAAGGTGGTGGAGAACCAGATCCCCCTCTACAAATTCATGTTTCCCCCTGACCTGGAGAAGCCGACGCTGGCTTTCATTGGTTTCATCCAGCCCCTGGGTGCCATCTTTCCCATCGCCGAGCTCCAGTGTCGCTGGGCCACCCGTCTCTTCAAGGGTAAGTGAGGCAGGGGGCGGGGACGCAGCCAGGCTCCCTTGGCCTCAGCAAGGCTGAATCGTTCAACTGGCAGCATCGCCCCACACACTGCCTCCCTCCGCTCACCTTTGTTGTCCTCCCTTGTTTATTCACAGAGACAAAAACCAGTGTTGCATTTTGCGATGAGCCTTGCTCTCATCTTCTCTTGCGGGGGCCACTAACAGGTCCCATTGCCTGCAAACCACTTTTTCCTTCTCTTTTCCTTCCATTACTTTCTCCGCCTGTGCCTCCTGCTTTGCTCCTGCTGTGATGGCACATCCCCAAAGCCCCAAAGGCTTTTGTGTGCGAGCAGAGGCCAGGCTGAGCTGCAGATCCAGCCGTACCACGGCGGGACCACAGCCCTCCCTCCAGCCATAGCCCCTTCTTCCCCAGGGCTGCAGGACCTGCCACCATCTGCCACCATGCTGGCTGACATCACGCAAACCAAGGAGAAAATGGCTGAACGGTAAGGACCCCGCGCAGGCATCGCCCCTGCCACCATTACCCCCGTACCCCCGTTTCAAGCCCACCTGTCCTCCCTGCCTGCAGGTACGTGAAGAGCCAGCGGCACACCATCCAGGTAGATTACATCCCCTACATGGACGAGCTCGCCTGCCAGGTGGGGGGCAAGCCCAACGTGCTCAGCCTCTTCCTCACCGACCCCAAGCTGGCGCTGGAGGTGTTTTTCGGGCCCTGTAC